AAGTTCCAGTATGCTGCGGCCAGATTCTTCTTTTTCTTTAAGTGCAGTCCTGTTCTTCCCCACTGATGTCACTCTGAATGCTCTGCTGTCAGTTAATACTGTACAGACCGGATCCTCAGACAAAAATGATCCTTATTCAGACCCTCTGACTTATCACCCAGCGGGGGAAAAAACAAAAACAAAATGAGTAAAACCCCAGTGAGGTCATTTAAGACTCATTTAATCAAAGCAGCTCCAGCCCTATGGCGTTTAGCACATTTAGCTGAGTATCTCCAGTGGTTAACAGAAGTGACATCTGATATTGAATTATCTTATCAGAAAAGGAAATGCAAAACGACAGGGAAGAAACTCAGAGTGAATTCCATGGACTTTGTGCTCCACTTCTCACAATGGATCCCATAAACTACACATGCACAAGGAGAGGGGTGTGCTTTATTATATGATGTGCTTGGAAGTATGCAAAAAATATACTTGCTTCTCTCCTGCTGTGTAAAAGCAGTCCCGGTGTGCGTGTGTGTGTGTGTGTGCGTGCACGCAAGTGCGAGACAAAGGGATTTGGCAGACGCACAGGAGCCTGGCTGGAGCAGCCACATCCTAATGGAGTCTGGGAAACACAAGGCTTTGGTATGCTAACGCCAGTGTCACTTAGCTGTCAGACCCACGCACAGGGGGCAGCTCTTAAGATCTCAAGAACTGTTTTGGCATTCACACACACGGGCATTCGTTATGATTCTTTTGAGTGTTGTGCCATTCAAAGGTTTTGCTCTCATCTGTTAGTGTCTTCACCTAACTATCTATACATACACACACAAACACACACACACACAGCTTTATGTGTGTGTGTGATCTATGAGCTGACACCATGCATTCAGGGGCCCATCCTCTCATAGCTGGTTAAATCACATGTGTGAAAAATGGAGAACAGTGCCTTACGGGGTGCACGGCCTGTGCGTGCGTGTGTGTGTTTGAGCCGCTGCCTGCACGACAGCAAGAAGCAGCGGACTAGAGAAAGCAACAGCACCCATGTGTGGCTGTCGCATGGATTTGTAACATTCTTTGGTATTACATAACGGTCTGTTACAGATTCAGGTATGAGCCTTACTCCGGCATAAGAGGAACCGGCTCCCCTTCGCCCTGTTTAACGTGCTTTTCTCTCGTCACTCTCCCACTTCTGTCTCTTCTCCGGGTCACCAAGAGGACAAACCTTTGTGTAATCCCGCTTCCCAAGAGACGACAGAGGATCCAGCTGCTACTGGACACCGGAGTTCAAATTTACACTGCTGCAGTTTTTTAAATTTTATTATTATTTATGTATTTAATTTTTGCCCTGTTCAAGCTCACAGTTTGTTCCGCGTGCCAGCCTGCGAGCAGCATGTGAGCCACGATGTCGCCTCTGCAGCTCCTGTTATGTCTTTCCTGTCAGGAAACAAGACACGCAGCTGAGAGACAAGATGGCTGTAAACACATCTGTTTCCACTTCTCACATTATTCATCCCCCTTGACACTGTTGTGCTTTCTGTCTCAGTGTCCATCCCTTGCACTCCTGTCTGCCCTGCTCTTGTCACATCCCTGTCTATCAGCGTGAGTATTCCACCTCAGCGAGCCGGGCCCGTTCTCTCACCTCCTCCCAGTGTGGTCATGACTCCACTCTTTTCTGCTTTGTTCACATTTCCCGCTTTTTCCATGATTTTTTTCATTTCTCACTTCTGCCTGTCCGTATTACATATACAGTGGGATGCAAAGGTTTGGGCAACCTTGTTAATAGTCATTATTTTCCTGTATAAATTGTTGGTTGTTACGATAAAAAATTGTCAGTTAAATATATTATACAGGAGACACACAGTGATATTTGAGAAGTGAAATGAAGTTTATTGGATTTACAGAAAGTGTGCAATAATTGTTTAAACAAAATCAGGCAGGTGCATACATTTGGGCACCACAAAAAAGAAATAAAATCAATATTTAGTAGATCTGCCTTTTGCAGAAATTACAGCCTCTAAACACTTCTTGTAGGTTCCAATGAGAGTCTGGATTGTGGTTGAAGGTATTTTTACAAACCATCTCTAGTTCATTCAATTTTGATGGCTTCCGAGCATGGACAGCTCTCTTTAACTCACACAGATTTTCAATAATATTCAGGTCTGGGGACTGAGATGGCCGTTCCAGAACGTTGTACTTGTTCCTCTGCATGAATGCCTTAGTAGATTTTGAACAGTGTTTCAGGTTGTTGTCTTGTTGAAATATCCAGCCCCGGCGCAGCTTCAGCTTTGTCACTGATTCCTGGACATTGGTCTCCAGAATCTGCTGATACTGAGTGGAATCCATGTGTCCCTCAACTTTGACAAGATTCCCAGTCCCTGCACTGGCCACACAGCCCCACAGCATGATGGAACCACCACCACATTTTACTGTAGGTAGCAGGTGTTTTCTTGGAATGCCGTGTTCTTTTTCCTCCATGCATAACGCCCTTTGTTATGGCCACATAACTCAATTTTAGTTTCATCAGTCCACAGCACCTTATTCCAGAAGGAAGCTAGCTTGTCCAAATGTGCTTTAGCATACCTAAAGCGGCTCTGTTTGTTCTGTGGGCGGAGAAAAGGCTTCCTCTGCATCACTCTCGCATACAGCATCTCCTTGTGTAAAGTGCACCAAATGGTTGAACGATGCACAGTGACTCCATCTGCTGCAACATGATGTTGTAGGTCTTTGGTGCTGGTCTGGGACTCTGACTGTTCTCACCATTCGTCGCTTCTGTCTATCTGAGATTTTTCTTGGTCTGCCACTCCGAGCCTTAACTTGAACTGAGCCTGTGATTTTCCATTTTCTCAATATGTTCCTAACTGTGGAAACAGACAGCTTAAATCTCTGAGACAGCTTTCTGTATCCTTCCCCTAAACCATGATGGTGAACAATCTTTGTCTTCAGGTCATTTGAGAGTTGTTTTGAGACCCCCATGTTGCCACTCGTCAGAGAAAATTAAAAGAGGAGGGAAACTTAAAATTGACCCCCTTAAATACTCTTTCTCATTATTGGATTCGCCTGTGTATGTAGGTCAGAGGTCACTGAGCTTACCAAGCCAATTTCAGCTCCAATAATTAGTTCTAAAGGTTTTGGAATCAATAAAATGACAACAGTGCCCAAATTTATGCACCTGCCTGATTTTGTTTAAACAATTATTGCAGACTTTCTGAAAATCCAATAAACTTCATTTCACTTCTCCAATATCACTGTGTGTGTCTCCTATATGATATATTTAACTGACATTTTTTTATTGTAACAACCAACTTATACAGGAAAATAATGACTATTAACAAGGTTGCCCAAACTTTCGCATCCCACTGTATAGTACTTTGCAAAAGTCTTGAGCCACCCTTCACTTCTTTATATTTTCCCGGGGAAATGTGAAACAGCTTTAACAGAAACATGTGCAAAAACATAAATGGAAATAAGTCAATATTCTGTAAGACCACCTTCAGTCTCCAACACAGCCTGAACCCTCCTTGGCAAGCTTTCGTCAGGAATAATACTTCAAGACTTCCTGAAGCACATTCAAGGCTCTTCTTTAGATAATGGGAGCCTTTTTATCCATTCTCAGCTTAATAGACCCTACTAAGTAGCCACTCACTGTTGTACCTCTTTTATGATCTCTTCCATACATAGTGGTGATGTTTTGAACCAAAAATGTCGAATTTGGATTCAGTTCTCCATGACACCTGTTGTCACTGGTTTTCAGTTGAGTTCCAATGTCATGTGGCTGTTTCACTTCCTTTGAATGGCTTCCTGACAGAAACAACCTTCCACAGAGGCCATTACTCACAAGACTTCAGTGAACAGATGCGTCTCTGGGGTCCTTACAAGGCTTTTTCCAATTTCACGCTGTGATATCTTTGATATTTTATGTAGATTCAACTAAAGAAATGGAAACAAATGATTTTAATTGCATTTTTATTTTTTTTTAAAGACTGTCGGAAAGCCTGGAGAACTTGTTCAAGACCACTTACAATATTTACACTTACAATAGTCTGGCTTCTGGGAATCAAATTCTAAGGAAGTGTGACTCACATCATGTACATATTTGGCCTTGACTTCGACGTACAGCCACTCTGTCTGCACTGTATTGCTCCTGAAGCACTTTTTAAAAACTTTTTTAAAATCTAGCCTCTGGATTTCCTTATTGTCATTGCTCCATCCTGTTCTGGTTACTGTAAGATGTTATCTTTAAAAACTATGTGCTGACGGCATACAAAAGGTCTGCTGACGACGCTTCAGTGGAGCAAGGTCAGCAGACCTTTTTACAGTTGATCTTTCCCAGCTTTATTCATTCATTATGATTAAGTGTCACCTGATCTTAAAGTCTGCCAAACTCTTCACCAAGTGACTTTATTTGTTATCTGACTGCCGTGCAGCACCACAGTCTTGTGAACTGATTTGTTTTGCAGCTTTAGCACATCGTTCTCAAACTATTTTAGTCACGTCCGTATCAAATGAGCTCAGACTTTCATGCATCGGCTTGGTTAAGTCAGCGGGGTTGAACAGCTTACTCTGCTTAGTCAAGCATCAGATTCTTCAATCCTATATGCTTCACTGCAAATAATGATATATTTCTGGTCCCCATTACATGCTGGCAGCTACTTAATCACGGAGGGATGTTACTGTCTTTAACTACGTGCTGACTCTGTAAAACCTGCAGTGCAGCAAGCATATTGACTTAGTTGTAATTCAAATTATTTTTGCTGTTTTAATTATGTGGTAACTTTAAAAAAAAAACTCTTAGAAGGAGAAAGTTTACTGCTCTGTGAAGTGGACAGTTTAATGCAGTTTCAGCTTTTGTTTGCTGGTTACGCAGCCTTTTAATGAAGGACACAAACAGACTGTATAAGAGTACAATGTTTTTTAGATCTTTTTGAAGAATATTGGGGTGAAACGGACAAAATCTTGTCAGGTACATTTTTATTATCCCTTTCAGAGAAATGGGCTAGAGCTGGCTGTAAAAAAATAATCATTATTCCAGTGTTACATCAGATTTTTATGAAAGTGTAGATTAAAAAAATTCATTAGGAATGCTTTCTACTGTGAAAGTTGTCATGACATACTTTATTTTTACAGGAATGGCTACATGTTAAGAAACAACAAAAAGAAAAAGGCCAAAAGGTTTCCAAGGTATTGATGGGAGAGACCTAGATGATGTTGTTTCTGCTATACCACAGCACAGTGTGACTCAGTGGGGTCAGGGTAGCTCACTGAAGCTGAAATATAGTGGAGAATTTGACGGGTTAGAGAATTGGGTTTAACGAGAAGTACTTACCACCCAATTTCTAATTATAATAATTAAACAGAAAAAATGAACTTGATAAACTAGATGATGTACACAGTTCCTTACGCTACAACAGATAAAGTTGTACTTATTGTTTTAGACTTTCTCTACTGTCGACCACGCCGTGTTGTGTGTTCTCACTGCCCCCTAATGGTGAATTATGGAACTTCTCTGCAACTTTGAGCCAAGTGGCAGCAAATGAACACAACAGACAAAGCAGAGATATATTTGTATAAGGCATTTTTAAACGTGTAAAACAAACAAAGGTTTACAAAAATGCAAATAGCACCAAGTTGACATACAGTATTTTTTTTTAAACAACAACAGAAAAAACAAGGCAAGTGTCCACACAGAGGTTGTTGAGTGTGCTTCTCAGCAAAAACCCATAGCAGCACTGTGTTTTGCTGTTTTTTTCTCTAATGCAAACAGTTTAATATCACAACAATCCAGTCACTTCATATAAGTTAAACAGGTAAAATGTCTAAACAAAACAATCATGATCAGAGAAATGCCCTCTAGAATAAAACCTTGAGAGAAAATATCGCCCAGCTATACAACCGTAGGCGTGTCTTTGTATTCTGTGTTGTCCTCTTCTCTTTCCAGATGACTCAACTAAACGCCCAGGACATCTGGAGGAACTGGGATGAGAAGCTCACAGGGAAATGACTTTCACTAGTTTGGTTAATTTGCATCTGTGCAGAGTGGGTTTAAAAGACAGGAGACAGAAGCAAATGAAGGCTAATAAAAACCACACTTAAGTCTTAATTTTTAAAAAATTCTGTAGCTGAAATGCTACTGGTCTCCTTTGTGGTTGGCAGCATCCTTGACCTTGCAGTCTTTGATGTCATCTTTCAGCTCAGCTAGCTGTTCTGCATGGATTGCCAAGGTACCGTTTACTTGGGACAGGTAGGAGTCAGAGTGTCTCTCAAGCTCCGCCCGGATCCGTTCCAGATGATCCGCCAGCTCGCTCAGGTTGCTGCACTGGCCCTCTACCTGGGTCACCCTGCTATCGACATCCTTTACCTCTTTCTGCACTTCTATTGCTGTGCTGCGGCAGCCCCGTAGTTCCCCGGCCAGCTGTCTCTTCAATGCCATTAGCTCCCCCTTCAGCTGGACCAGTCGCCTCTCCCCAGCTCCAAGGAGGGAGGCTTGGTGGCCCATGAGTTTAGTGATTCCTTGCACTTGGTTGACGAGTTGGTGCTCTCTTTGTTCCCATGTGGAATTAGCATGTCCCACTTCACTTGCAATAAAGCTAAGAGAGTCCTTTAGGCCCTTCAGAGTGCGGTTCACAGAGTTGATGTTGACCTTTAGCAGTGTGATCTCTCCTTGGATAGATCCTTCTGATTCCTCCTGGGCAATCCGGAAGAGCAAGTTCTGAATGGTGTTGTTTAAGCGATCCAGCTGGTTAGAGTGAGAGTCCAGACGGTTTGTCATCTTCTTTTCCATCTCTTTGCACTCGTCCTCTACTTGAGTGCCACTGACACCTCCCGCTGGTGGCGTCGAGGGTGGGCAAGAGGTGGTACAGAGGAGCTCCAGGTGTTTTAACTGTTTTTGAATTCCATCCAGATCTCCTTCAACTCTCCTCCTCACCGACTCAATCTCGGTCTCCAGCGCAGGGACCACCTGCCCCTCCAGAAGAGCCGGGGCTGTGGCGTTACTCAGTTCCTCCACGGCCACAGACACTTTCTCCTCCAGGGTCTTCAGCTTGTCCTCAAACACAGTCTTGAAACCATCCAGACCACCAGGAAACCCTTCAATCCCGTCAAAACTACCACTTGTGGCATTTATTCGGCCCTCTATGTCCACCAGTCGAGTCTTAATCAGGGTGTCTATGTGGATGGTTTGGTAATTCAATGCGGTCTGGAGCTGCCTTTGTGACTCCGTCAAACCTTTAACCGACTCCTCCAGCAGCAACACACGATGAGACAGACTGCTCACCTGCAACAATCAATAACTCATTAGTTGTTGTGTAAACCATGTCATGGCCCAACAAACTGCACTCATAAATTATTACAATTTAGTGATGTGACCCTTTCTGGATTTCAGCTGGATTTGGAGCAGCCAAGGTATTTTTAGTACCTTTCAACAAATCTCCATAATAAAATTTCAGTATAGTGTGTTTCAAAGGTCTGAGAGTGAAACCCTGGCTTTTTAGCACATATGGAGTCATCTCTAAGGTGGGGCTTCGAACATAGAGTGGAGAAGCACTCTTTTCACCACTCTGCATTTAATAATTAGTTATTATTTTTCTCCTTTTTAAAATCTTTTCTCAGGAATCCGAGATTAAAGTCAGAATTCTGACTTTAATTTCAGAATTCTGGAAAAGAAGAAAAAAAGATGTCCCCAACTTTTTTCGGTGGCCCTAATCCTCTTCCGTAATATAGCAGACTGGTGTTTTGGGAAATTTTTCATTGAGCGTCAAAATTTGCAATAATGCAATAAGGTTTCAGCAACTGTCAGGAGATAAAGCTTAGCCTAAACATTTGGAAAACAAAAACTTTCAATTTCATATGTATGGATAAAGCACCAGAATTATTCGGGATTTCAATTAATAAGCAGATTACTGATTACAGTTTATTGCTGTTATATTGTTATATTACAACCCCACGTATGTCATACCTGTCCGCAGCAGCTCTCAGTGAGTGTTAGACCCTGAATCTGAGCTTGCAAAGAACCCAACTCCTCCCTGAGCCCAGTTTCTTTGCCATCCAGAGATTGCTGGATCTGTTGCTGGCCATCCATGTGCTCCCTGTGGCACTCCCTCTGCACCTCCCCGATCTTCTGATCACAGTGCTTCTCGAGGCTCGTCAGACGGCGCTCAAAGCCATCCAGGATATCAGCCCTTATATCTGCCAGCTTGATATCTAAGAGTTCATCCAGAAGAGATCTGGTGTCAGGGCCAGGGATGGGCATGCCTATAGCTCCTTCCAACAGTTTCTTCAGCTGGCCATCATGACCCAAGACCATCCCCTAAAGATGAACAGAAGTCAGATCAGAGACTAAATTTAATATTTATTGAAGGAATAAAAAAAAGAAATGAGGCATTATTTGTTTCAACTATGAAAAAAAATGTATCAAATGATCGATCAGCAGGCATTATGGCACAGTACCTGAATCTCCTCTAGAATATGAGTCTTGGCCCGCAGCTCATCCCTAACTTCTGTCACTCTCCCTGCTAAATCACCAAATCCAGTAAAGCCTCCTGCTCCATCCAACCCATCATGAGTCCCATCTGGGATCAGCCCAAATCCCACAGCAGAGTCGGGCGCACGAGGTCTGTTCGGTAGCAAGGATACCAGAATTTTATTGGTGTCTTCCCGGAGTGATGTGCGTAGTCGGCCCTCAAGACCAGTCACCACCCCATTAAGAGTGTCTAGACCCTGGGTAAGGCGACGCAGGTCCTCTTCGATACGGTCCAAGCGCTCACCAGTTACACCTGAAATGCCATATTTGTTGCCTGTATTTTGAAGGCAAATCACAGAAAAGGGAATGTTTTAGAGACATTCATAAATATGTCAAATATGAGGGAAATAAGTGGTTTCAATTACAGAATAATGCGCAAACATTCAAAAACATTGCAGAGTTAATGACAGTCGTTAATTTAATACTCCAAGACTTTACAATAAACCAGTTGGAACCTCTTCTCACCATTTGTCTTTCCTGTGGGTATACCAGGGAAGGGTTTTCCTGGCTCCAGCTGGCCTCCTCCAGGCTTATGCTCAATAGGGGGTCTAGGGCCATGGGGGAAGCCCTTCACACTTGGGTGATGGGGAAGAACTGCACCCTTGAAAGGTGGCATTACAATATCTGGATGCGACGTGGGTCCATCGTAACAGTTTTCTCCAGAATAGCCGGGACAACATTTCCACTCGAGCTCGGTCACTGTTTTAAAACCAACCTTGTATTTTGGCTTGTAGAATGTCCTATACCTAAAGGAAATGTGATATAAATGTGCTTACAATAAGTGATTAAGCAAATGTTATGAGTGAAATATATCAGGTTTTACTGTTAGAAGTACTTTTGTTTTCATCAATCATGAGCACAAATACAGGATGGAAAGATGGCGCTGAGCAGAAATAACAGGATTTGGTTGTTCACTATGAGATTAGACAGGGATTAGAGGAAGATTAAGAGATTAAGATAATCATGGTGTAAATGATGGCATCAGGGGATTGGACCTGGGATAGCACCCAACTTCATTGTTATTTAGTTTAAGCTGAATTTTCTATCCATTGTGAATCAAAGTCTCTCTTTACACACACACACACACACACACACACACACACAGAAAATCCACTCTTGTTCCCATTGTGTAGTCTTTCGAAAGGTATATGAAGACATACTGACTAGACAAAACTTTGAGAGCAGATAGCAGAAAGGTACATCTGCCTAAGAACAAGTTAAAGCCAAGTTAAAATGTTTTTTTTCTTATGCCTTACTTTCTCATGTTTTCAACAAATAATAAGAAAGCAGAACAACAGCTTTCCAGAATTCTTAATAAATAAAAAACAGATCTTAATCATTTCCATGCACAGAGACAGAATTGGTAACACAGATGTCCCTGCATTTTATTTTATTTAGCAAAATAAATAAAAAGTAATCAGCAGTATCACAAATGTGCATTAATAAGGATAATATATAACACTAGAGGGCAGTATTGACGTAGAGTATGTTCTACATTGTGCTGCAGTTTGCCAAATATAAAGAAAGAACGACATATTTAAACATCACTACCAAACTCCTAAGACGCAGACTGAACTGTAAAACATCTGCAGCATTGTATTACTTCGTTTGATTGACTCACATCACAACAGGACATTTCTGACCCCAGATACACTTGGTGGTATACTCAGCCTTCACGTAGGTTGCCACTCCATCCTGCATGATGCATGTGATGTTTCTCTGAACTACATAGGCGCAGTGGTTTCTGTGGGGAGAGCAGAGGGATGTTACAATGCTAGCAACAATAAGATGCCAACAGCCCCTGTCTTGCTCTGTGTCCATCACACTGAAGTACTATAACTAACTGTGAATTTACAAATGTGGTTCAGCAGCAGCACTATTAATTCAACAGGGCAGTATACAGTAGACTTAAACGGCTAAAACTTTAGCCACTTTAAGATACAAAACATGCCAGAAAAAGTAAAGCTGTAACTGCAAACTCTCAGTGTATTGAAGTCAAGAGGAGTCTGTTTTATTGTGTATAATTAAAACTGTTGGAGTGTAACAGGGAAAATTTAACAGAAAGCTATTTCTTCCATCAAAAGTGTTGAAAGTGATGAAGATGCCTCATAAAACCTTCTGTAAGATACTATTGACCCAGTGTTTTAATCTTTGCTTTGTTGTGTTTAATCTTTTACAGCTCATTCTTCTTTTGGATTATGAATAAGCCCGTGTTGTTGTGTTTTTCTCTTTTTATTGGCACTTCAATAAAAAAAAACAAGAAAAGTTTGCTTTTGATCTAGCTGATAGATGTTAATAAAAGATCTTATAAATCAAAGAGAGCTTTTCATTGAGGAGCTACAGCTGCAGATGGACTGAGGACAGATTCTTTCGCTCTTTTTCAATTTTTTTTATTTTTAATTTTGACAATTTAAATGGATTTTTTTAGTTACTTGTATTCCCAATTACTTTCAGGTATAGCTGCATGCAGTATACTACAAATACCCACGCAGGGAGTTGTGTTTCAGTTGTGTGTGGAATCATAGATTGTATATAAATGTATATTTGAGGTAGCCACTTTGGCAACACCCCTTGGTTAGTGAAGTCCTGCTGCAAAGGCTTAAAGTGAGCTTTGTTGTTGTTGCCAAGTTGTTGTATTGGAACAGGATGATAAGAGTGAAGAGCAGCTCTGACTGAAAAGCTGAGGGATGCTGCACACTCATCAGTCAGTGAAGTGCAATTGCTAAATGAACTTCAGTTTACAAAAACGGCATCTTTTATATTCATTAAGACGAAAATAGCAAGTGAGGCCTTAAAGTCATCCAGAAAATATTTACTGATGTGGATAAGGAAGTTGAAGAGTCACTTTCCAATGGACTTCCACACAAGTGGAAGTCATATTGAAACTACAGGAATTTCCCACTGGTGGAAGCAAGTGCTGAAACATTTCAACACAAGCTCCTTTATTCAAAAACTATTTTAAATACATGTGGTGGATGTAATTTGGGAATGTAGTGGACAAGGAGAGACCACCCATGAATTTTTACCCAGCAGGAGGAAGATATGCAGTCAACATCAAAGACTGTACCAGAGTGTGTTGTGGTGTTGTTTGATGTTTGTGTGCAATGAATTCCAAACTTCATTGTTAAAATTAGATTTATGTGTTTTTCACATGCTTTACAAGTTGCAAATGCACCGTGTCATGTTCAATTTCATACAATGCTAGTCCAGTCCTGCACGAAAACCACGCAAATAAGTATACTGTACAGCCTACATAGTATACTTTATGTAAGTATACTAAGACAACTGAAAGTCCTTTTAGCTTGTTTTGCTTCTTTTAGTTACGTAGGGTAGTTGAGCACCAAAAACATTCACGAAGACTGTTTTCAATCCTGGAAGTGCTCAGATGTGCACTAACTTCACTGTAACAACTTTGAGCAGTTGTTGCATCACACTGAACTTTCCCTGTCCCACTCGCTCTCACTCTTCATAGCCAGTGCAGCTATAGCAACTGCTAAATGTTCCCCTGGACTCTGTGCAACACAGGAAATGATGATCTGCTCTCTTCAGGCTCACATGTGAAGCATTTCTTACATTCAGAGGGGAGCATTTAGCAACACATGCGGCACTTAGCATTGCTCCACAGCTGTTTCAGGACTAATAGAAGTGTTCGGAGCAGCAGGGAGGGACACGGGGGCCGAGGCGGGTCTACATGCCAAGTTAACAGGTTCAGAGGGCTAACAGAGAGGGGAGGCTGTTAGAATGTGTGAGAAACCACTGCGCCGCTGTGTCCTTCTGCAAATGTGTTGACAGTGTTTTCAGCGTGTGTGTGTATGTGTGTGTCACCACTCTCCCTGTGTTGACATATGTTAATAGCAGTAGAAGGTAGAGGGCAAAAGTTAGAATGACAGAGCTCCTTTCATACCAGCCTGACAACCTGCTGCCAGGTCATGGGTTGTTAAGGAAGTGGCAGTTACGACCTTAACTGATGTGGTATGATGGGAGTTCTTTAAGTACTTTTAACTCCCGCATGCAGTTTACTACTTGGTGCAAATGATTTTCTTAGCATAACAAAAAGGGGAACTGGCTGGAATAATGTATTAGGTCATTGAAATAAGAAATGCAAGCTTAATTTGACAACACAAATGATGCTGCATCATCTTTTCTGGCTAGTTTTTTTCAAAAGCTGGACTCCTGTAACATTTCTGTTGTTCTTAATAATTTGCTTTCATGCTGTTTTTCTTCTCCCTCCCTACCTGCAGGCTCTTTTCTTTACCAGGCCAGAGGGACTTTAAAACTGATCACTCCCTGTGCTGTCATCTGCTGTTCGCAGTGAGATCTATTGCAGACAATACACATAGTTTTTGGCACCAAAGTAAATGACTTTTTAAAAAAAAAAAAAAAAAAAAGAGAGAGAAAGAGAAAGAGAGACGTAAGCAGTTAGATTCTTGTACAAATGTGTTTGTCAAAGTCACATGAAGATTTTGATAGCAATTTCTGCAATATAGAAAAGGTATAGATACTTTCAACCTGAATATTTCAGCACTACAGTGAATGGCTTCAGTATTATTATGTGATATAAATCCAATTTAATGCCTTTAGTTTTTTCATCTTACATCTTCAAGGAGCTTAAAGACTTTGTCTCTGTGTAGCTCTTAAAAGCTGGTAGCTGATAGTTGCTGATTGTGGGCCACATACAGCATATTTTGATCTTTAGTCGTCCCGACCAGTGAAACTACATGATAAATATGTAAAATTGCAGAAAAGGTTATTTTACTATCCTGTAATTATAATATATTTTTGTTCATTTACTGTGGACTCACTAATAGTGGGGACAAAGGAACTTTCCTGTCATTAAAATTGTTTATCTCTTTATTACTTTGGAGTAGAATGAATGGGTTGGTTAGTCTTTATCAGCAGGAAAAACTGTAAAACTTATGAAAATACAGTTAAAAGTTTGAAATCTATGCACTCTTTCACATTATCTCAAGCTGTCCAGTGGGCTGAATTTCACTCTTTGCTGGGCCTGGTTTGGTCCCCAGGCCTTCTGTTTAAAACCCCTGATATAGAGAATAGTAAGTGTGTGACCATTTTCACAGCTGTGAGATGTAACCCACAGACTTCACACCATGGCGAAAAGTGCAGCAATCCAGATGTACATGAGGGGGGGAAATGGTTCCCTGTCCACAGTTTTCTGTTTCTGCTTCACATTTTTTTTTTGTCATTTTTCTGTCAGTGTCATTTGGGTCTATGAGTGATATTTAATCCTCACTGTCTTCCATACAAGGGGGGTTTCTGGCTTTGTGAAACTCAGAGTTGAGTGCTGATATAAATCCCGTCCCTTTGCGCTGCGCTGTCGGTCAGGTCAGCAGCAGGTCGCCTTTGCTGTGTGAAAACCTGTTTTTACAAGACGAATGTTAAGTTTCAGCTTGAAAGCCTGAAAGCAATAATACAGTCAGCTGTAGAGAAAATGACACATACTCACGTGTGCAGATTTTATAGACACATAATCAAGCAATAAAGACCTTGGGTTATATCTCACATCCACAGAGACCACTCAACTCTGCAAAAAGAAGACTACACAAACTTTATTCCAAAAATATGAACCCTCGATGTGGAAGTGGTCATATATGAGCAGGAGCGCTGCCTTTAGTATTTGTTATTACTCTAGCCACTTCCAGCAGCTGCAGAGTAGGTGAGAACTTTGTTTGGGCTGCTTTTGTGTGTGGGAGGATGTCCAGCTGTGAGAAGGCTGTTAATCTGGACACTTTGGGGAAAAAGAATGAGAAGTCCTGATGTGTATGATATGAGATCAGAGAGCTATAGACAGAACAGTGAAAAGGTGAGAGAGGAGTGATAGCCTATTCTGAGCTTTTTCCATGCCTCATCTGTCAGCCAGTGTGGTACAAGGTCACTGCTGTTAAAAAGTATAAATACTTTCTGGTGTGTTTGTTTTAGAGCTTGTGGGGGACAGATGAGAAGGGTTGGCTGCCCATAAAGTACCACAGAGTACAAGTCACCTAGGTCAAGTCGAGTTTATTTAGAGCTTATAGTTAAAAGCAAATAGCACTTCCAAACATGCAACACACCTGATCATAATATAGAGTAGAGGTGAAGCTGCAGTTAGACACCATGGTGGCTCTAACACTGTAAAGCCTGAAACATTAAATAATTGCCAGAAAGTTAATATATATATATTTTTTAAAATGGTGAGTTTATTGAAAGTTATGGCAAATTGAAAAAAAGTCATTAATAATTAATTTGTTTTTAATTTGTATAATTTTGCTACATCCAGTATTTTTGTGCAATTTATTGCTCAAACACTTGTTGTGCAAAAAATCACACAGATGAAGGAGAGGTCTCAAAAACTCAGGTTATAGGGTTAATAAATGTATTCTAGTAAATAACCTATTGACCAGTACTATTTATTGCAGTGATGAGTTGGTGAGGCTGATGCATTGGCACAGGGAAGTCATGCCTCTAAATGCACAATCTCGAAAAAGACAAGAGGTCTACTGTATGTAAGAAATGATTGACTACACACTAGTACATTTTCCTATTTTATTTTGTAAATGTGATAATTCTGCACCTTCTCCCATCAATTTAGACTGAATTACTCATAAAACTCTGGAAAAAGGAAGATTTCCAGACATGAGATGACAAAAACTGAAATATTTAGCCAGAACTTAGAGCCCGGTGAGCTCCAGACCCTGCCCATTATCAAGCATGCCACAGTGAAGCATGGTAGTGGTATCATGCTGTTTC